AAAGAAAGAGACCTTGTAGCTCCCTTTCCCTGAGCTGTGATTTGTCTTTTAAAAAAACAAAACAAAACAAAACAAAAAAACACCTGTGTAATCACAACATGCTGATATATATATTTGGGCTTTCTTTGGTCTAAGGAACAACATACTGGATGTTTCAAGAAGTTTTTTACTCTAAAAATTCAAGATACCTGGCAAAGTGATGGAGTAAGGGATCAGAAATGAAATGTATGGACAGATCATCGGGTTCCTCTGTTAGCAGTGGGTCTCTACAACAATCTTTGGTGAGGCCCGTGGTGACCAGCTGACTTTAAAAATGACCTGAAAATGGAGAGGAGCAGTGAGATTAATGACAAGCTTTGCGATACCACAATATCACCCACCATGTTCTAAATTTTGCTTGGCTACATGGAGCATAAGAAGAGACCTTGTGATACTCTGAGAGATTCACTGTGAAGGGGCATACACGTGACCTGGAGAAACAACAGTTTTAACCATATTCAACAATTAATTAATTGACAAATAAGACAGCACACTCACGATATTGCTGATTGCAAGGAATGAAACTGACAAAACATGTTATGCCATCATAGAATTAATCCATATGGTATGATTTGAACACAGCACAGATGCTTTATAATACAAATATGTATCTATACACAGGATTAGAATGGATACGAAAGAGTCAGAATAAAATGACGTCATTTATGTTGACTGAAAACTCTTCAGTTTGGAAAAAGAGCCTACCAAAATAGAATGTCCCACCTTTTGCTGAAAATGCATTCTTAAAATGTGAAATTAGTCACCAGAAGAGGCCAACAGTTTTATAAAAATACTCATAAAGAAGGATTAGACAGCATTGTGGAAGAGTTCTATCTCTAACTTGGTTTATTAACCACAGGGTTGAGAAACAGTTACTCAGCTTGGAGCTTTCCTGATCTGTTGCCTAACAGAGGCTGGAAAAATACACCACTTTCACTCTGTTTCTTGCACTCCCTTTTCAAGCATTTGCCTTTTGGTAGTGGATATTAGACTAGACAAAATACAGTAGTTTAGGTGATAGTACATATTTAATCCCAGTTTGGTATTTCTGTCTCCTTTATAGAGGTGCTCAGAAAAGGACTGTAAGCAGAAAAAACAGAATGCCTTTTGAGAAAATAGGATTTAATGTCAAAGATAATTTGTTGAAGCTGTTAAATATTAGGTATTTTCCACTCAAAAGATAACTTGGTTTCTTTAAGAGTTAAATAGAAGATACAGAACAATTCCTTCCCTTCCTACCAAAGGAACAAGTAGCTGGGTACACAATAAATCCCGCACTTATATTTGTTGCCATCCCTCTATGCCTTTGTGTAGATATATTCTGTGTATGTATAGTAGACTGGTGCAATGTGAGTTATGTGACATCTGGACTTCCCTTGCTATTCTCGCTAATTAAAGAAGGCATTTATTAGAGTATCTCTTAGCTGGACTTTGGAGATACATCACACACAAATCAACAAAACAAAAATCCCCAAAATCACATGAGCTCTTCGGCAGCTGCCCTGCTCATCTTACTGTGAGCTCCTGTTATTTTTGTGGCCTGAGACGTACTCGCTTGAATGTTGTCCAGAATGTCAGTTCCAGAGTTTTAATTTACATTTGCAGTTTGGGTAGCTTATTGAACTTCTCCAGTTAAGATAAAAACTATCTGTATATCTATTTAGCTTTCATGATGTTCAGATTGAGTTACTAGGATGTCTTGGAATTGTGTGAGAACAAGTGTGGCCTTTTAAGCTCCCATTTCCAGTTGTCTTTGCTGGTGAGTCAGACTGGCCTCTCCAACTGTTTTGTTTGAAACTTAACTTCTGTCATCAGTCTTACCCAGCTATTTTTAATTCCTTCTCCTGGGCCCAACTTGCAAACATTGCTTGAAAGTAGTATTATTCCTCCCAAAAGAATATGTCTTTTCAAGGCAAGTAGTGAAGCTTGAAACTTGATTTGTGATGACTGAGCTAACATCAGATTTGTGTATTTGACCACCAAAACTACAGATACTCCTTTTTCTTCAAATCCCAAGCTATAATGCCAGTATAGTCATTGTTTTAGATTTCCAGCCTCAGTAGACAGCTGATGCCAGTTACTGCTTTCTGTTTCAGAAATGGTGTTTTATTTGCCTTTCAAGTAATTACGAGGCTTGAAGTTTGCTGCTCATGGTGCCTTTTAAATAGTAACACCAAAATACCTGTTGGACCACAATTTGTGTTCTGTGACAACAGAGTCTGTATTCAATCAATTTAGATTGATAAATTTATCTTGCACTACCATAAGCCTGTGGTTAAACTTAATTCAATTGCAGGGTAGCTGTCTCATCTTACCATCATTTAATAAACCATTGTTATGCAGAGCTTTGAAGAAACCAATCCAGAAATTAGGAAAGAAAAGTGTCATTACCGCTGTATCAATTTGTAAGTATTTCTTGGAAAGCTTTTTCCAAAAATATGTTTAACCATAATGGAAATCTATGTTGTTGCCTGGCACGTGATAGTAGAGTGACTCCAGTGTATGCACTATTGTAATTCATATATTTTACTTCCCCAGTGATAGATCCTTATGTGCTTTAGGAGCTATATTCTATAATGCACAGACACTAAATGAGTTTTCAGACACAGTAATCCATGTGGAAGAACAGATGCAGCAAAACAACTCAGGGATCAATGGGGTAATTATCATTATATTCAATTGTAACAATCCAAGCATCACTGGATCACCGTAGATCACTGTTTTAATTAATATTTGCTAACTAAAGCAGTATTCAGTTTGTCTCTTCTTTGCCTGTCTAGGGTTATCTGGCATTACATCATTTTAGAGTCATAGCATCTGATTATATCAGCTCTTGCCAGCTGAGCTGGCCAAAGGAGTAAAAGTCCTGTGAGCAAAGAACGGGTACATGGAATAATTGTGGGGGTTTATGTGTATCCGGTGATTATGGCATTAGCTTGAGTTATCAAACTACTATTCCCTGCCTTGCTACAAACTTTTGATATGTCTTGTGTAATCGGGGTGGCTTAGTTCCCCTCACTAAAATTAGGCTAATAACACTTCTAAATTTTGTTTGGTGTAAAAAAAAAAAAGAATATATTGTGACTACTTAAAATGCATGAGTGTGAGAACAATGCAGATACTGAAGACTAAGTATTTCTTTCCTAGGAACAAGCTGTTTCCTTGGGAAGCCAAAGATAGATGACAGCATGAGTTCTGCATCACTTACTTTATAAATAGTTGTTTCCTTAGTAAGCACTGTTAATGAATGAATTCACCATTCTCACAAACAATTCACAGCATCTACCAGGAATATTGTATTAGCGATGAAAAAGCACACGTATTATAAAGCTTCTTATAAAGTTTGGTTAGCTACACTCAGCAATCATGTTAAGAGTGTATAATAAACACTCCTGTGCAGTTAAGCCATAATAAAAGATTATATATTTTCAATGGCTTGCAGCCATTTTTTCATTCATGTCAATCAAGATTGACATCTTCTGTAAAATTAGCCAAATACCAGGCCTTACAGTGCTGGAATACTAGAAATAAAATCATAGCCTCCCTTACAAAGCAGAAGTCAAAACATAATAAGAAAGTATTCTTTGTTTTAATTTACAGTTCTTTTTTCTCTTTTAGCAATTCAAGTGAGTTTGTGTTGTGTGCATGGAAGTTATGTTTAGAAGAGAAATAAAATTGTTTGCATAGCACTTTTTTTCCCTGCTGTGCCTTGTTAAGGCATAAAAACTCTGCCTGTCTCAAGCAATAGTAAAAAACGCCAAATGCTT